TTTGGATTAATTGTGTATGCCATGTTTATGATTTTTATAGGGATTTATTTTATGGTTGTAATTACACTCATGGTTATATGAAATTGATATTAATTATGAACTTATAGATAAATTCCTTATACTCCACCATGACACCATGGATTGTTGTTTTATTTGAGTGATGGGGAGAAAAAGTGTATAAAAAAAAAGTGAGGATTATGAGATTTATTTGAATGCCTTAGGCTCGGCATTGTTATGAGAAAGAGGGTATAAAAAAGTGAGGATTATAAGAGTTGTTTAATGCCTTATGCCCGGCATTGTTATATTTGTCTCATGATGTTGATGAGATGTTATTTATATTGTTGCCTCGTTCTCATGAGTAGACGAGTGCTTTGATTTACGCGCGTACGTATATGCTAACCATCCGGGGAGTGTGAGTCAAACTCGGGACGATATCCCCGTGCAAGTTTGGCTTCGGAGCGGTGTTAGGTATACGGGAGGCACATGGGATATATGTGTAGGCCGGAAGGGGAGGGCCGAAGTGGTAGAGTTAAGGAACAAAGAATTTAATTATGAATTTATCAGTATAGTGTGTATGGTACTGTTATGTACTTGATAAAAAAAAAGAGTAAAAGATCTTGATAAATTATGAAATTTGAGAAGAGGCATGTATATGTAATTTTGGACAACTCTTGTGTTGTAGCTTTTTATTAAAAAGATCGATTAGAACTTATAATCGGATGATCTTGGTTATTGTCGGTTTGATTCTCTTTGGTAATGCAGATTTTATAGGCTGTTTTAACCCATGAAACGAGCTCATTTTTATTGGTTTTGCGTAAACTGAAGTAAAAAATTATTATGCACACTTTTCGTGTTTTGAAATTTTTCGAAAAAAATCATCTTAGGGCAGTTTTAGTTCGTTTTCAGTTTCAGATTTTTCGATTAAATTCTATCTAGATTTTTATATCAAGTTTATCTCTTAACCTGTTCGGTTTCTGTTAAATTCGTACGCGATGTCTTATAGGAAATTTGATTCTGTACAACTTTTGTTCTTTGAGTTTTGATCAATTCGAATTATTTAAGTATGAAACGATGTAATTTTATATTTGTTTCAACAAGTTACTTATGATTAAATTATACTAATTTTATTTGTTTTGCAGGATGGTGGGTCTTACTAACTTTTTATGCAGGGCTGACCCACCATAATTCTATTTCTATTTTGTTTATTTTATAATACATTTATATTTCGTTGTGTACGGACAAGAAACTAAATGCCACCGTATCTCGCGTGGGTGTCAATTCTTGTACTCATACCAGTATACCTGTATACTGACCCGTTTTGTCTCTTGACAACTCGGGTGCGTTCTGTTTGAGCGCAGCTGAGCTTCATTTGCAGGATTAGTTGGGGCTACGGTGGTGACTTGGATTTACGATAGTGTTGGACCTGCCGTTTGGACTTCTTTTGTTTTATTGAGTTAAGGATTGATATTAGTCTATGTATTTATTATTCTCTTTATGACTTTAGTATTGGAATAATTTAGATTGGTTTGTAACCGTACTTTATTTAAGTTGTTTGGACTAGTTGTTGGCACTTAATGTTGAGGTATTTGTTAATAATGAGATTATGGTGGATGGTTTAGTTGGCGTTTTTTTTTTTTTTTTTTGTTTCACCCCTAGGATTTGGATGATGGAATATTGATTGGGGTTTAGTCCTAATTTAATATTTAATTGTCTAAATTTTGGGGCGTGACATTGTTGATGTTACGTCGATAACGTTAATCGCATTTCTAGATGTCTTAGTGCCCACGCCGCTTCACCTCTGTAAATTTGCTAAAAGGGGTTTTGGATTTTCTAGGATTTTGAAGGGGTTTTGTAATGTTATTTGAGGAATAAAGAATGCTAGGTGCAACATTGTCAAATCTAGTGTCCAACTCACACAAAATGAGGATCAACACTGCAACATCCACAAAGAAACGTTGAAATTTCAATTTTTGAGCTTTCGTTTTGTTCGCAATGGGGGAAAAATGAAAAAATTGCTATAGTATGCTTTTGAGAGTTTTGGTAACTACATCACCTAAGCACCCAATTTACCCCTCTAAACAGCCAATCCATGTATTACATTCGTGGGCTTACGTGTAAATAATATTGACTTGGGACCTTTCAGTTTACAAAATAAATTACAGGATTATATGGTTTAAACTATCTAAACTTGGGATTTATAGGTGATTTTCCCTTATTTTTGTATCCAAATAAAATGGAAATAATTTTTAAAATTTATTAAATTCTATGAAGCAAAAAATATATGTTTTTCCTTATTTCATAAATAACTTTTTCATTTCTCCTCCATCTTTGGCCACTACCACTGGCAACTATCTTCAACCAATCCTCCTTACTATCTCTAGTCGTCAGCACCTCCGACTATAATCTCTCATTGATTATTCTTTACAAAGTTTCAAAATAAGCTTTTAAAAATATATATATATATCAAATATATATTTTTTTACTTTTAATAAAAATAAATATAAACATCTTTTATGTGTTACGTCCAAAAAAAAAAAAAATTGTAAATATTATTAAATGCTCCTTAACTAAATATGACCTACAATAATACTAGGGGTCATGAAAGATTTATGAGGAAAGGTTTCATGAATGAGTTGGCATTGATCAAATCATCTTGGTGGAGCCCCAAATATATTATTAAAAAAAAAAAGAAAAAAGAAGAGAAGTTGAAAAGACCATAGAGAGAGGAAGTTGAATACCTTCTTCTCATAACAGCTTCATGTTTTGTAAACGGAATGGAAAAAGAAGTTAGGTCGCTTATTTTTCTCTCTCTCCCCCAATTCGTTCTGAGAATAAGGTATTCAACTTGATTATATAAACATATTCAAGTTGTCTTTTCTAAACCCATGTTCACTCACATTCTGAAAAAGTACTGCAACATTGATTCTCCACCTGCATACATACATTACTAGTGCCAGTAATGGCTTAGAGCAGAGCCCTTATAATAATAACAATAATAATAATAAGTCTTTTATTTTACTTAGAACTTCACTGATCTATTGAAAATCCAACTAAATGGTATAGCAAATCTTTCCTTGGATTTCAATCGAGCTCTCTCCTCCAACCTTTGAATTTTGGGACCTAACCCGCAAACATAATCTTGAGCCTTTCGTCCCTCAGGAGAGAGTGGAACAATAATGCTAACAAAGACGAGTTCTGAGAAGAAGGTAGGTCGTTTTTCTTTCTCTCTCTCTCTCCCCATTTCGTTCTGAGAAGAAGATATTCAACTTTTTCTCTCTATGGTCTTTCCAATTTCTCTTTTTTTTTTTATTATATTTTTTTAATAATATATTGGGGGCTCTACCAAGATGAGTTGGTCAATGCCAACTCATTCATGAAACCTTTCATGATAAATCTTTCTTGACCCCTAGCATTATTGTATTTCATATTTCCAAACTCACCCGTCATCCCACTCTGGATCCAAACCCAACCTTATATATATCTAAACCAATGCTAGACCTAAACAAAACATAATAATCTCTCCCTTTATTTTCTCCTACCAACTCTTTGCCATCATCCTTGCTTCCTTAGAACAGATTATCTAGTGTAACTAAAATAAATTGAAGTCATGTTTTAAATTAGTACTTATTAATTTAAACTATATAACTGTCACATTTGACAACATAAAAAAAATGACAATAAATAAACAGTTCTGTTTTGTAACTCGAATTTCATTTGGCTCGAGTGGCCCAACTACCCAAAATGACTTCTTTTTTTTTCGCATTTTCTCTCTGCAGATGAAGAAGAAGGAGGAGGAGGAGGATGAGAGAAGATGGAGCTGTGTAAGAGAGAGAGCATATCATCATCATCATCAACAACATATCACCATCAACAACAACAACAACAACAACAAATCATCATCATCAACAACAATAACAAATATCATCATCAACACCACATCATCATCATCATCAACTCATAATAGAGAGAGAGAGATAGATAGATAGATCTATACATACACACACATAGAGAAAGACAGATTCACAGATTTGTGTATACACACAGATCTATCTATGTATATACAGATCTGTTAATGATGGCACCGGTGATGGCGGGGTGATGACGCCAGCGATGATGCATGTCTCTCCTCTCTGTTCCCTCTTCCTTTCTCTACTCTCTTTTTCTCTTTCTATTCTTCTTTCTTCTTCTATCTGTTCCAGAATATAAGAGGGAAAAAAAAAACTGCTCAAAACGATATCGTTTTGGATAATCGAGCCACGCAGGCCAAATAAAATTCGAGCTACGAAGGATTATTGATAAATAAATAGGACTCAATATATATTGTTCTAAAAACACTAAATTCCCACTCTTTTAGTAAATAGATTTTCATTAGGAAATGTTATCAAACGCACCTTAAATGAACAAAACCTAAACTCAAATCCAAACTCACTCAATCTATCAACTCAAATCCAAATCCAAACCCTAACACTAATCCATATCCATATTCATATCCAAATCCAAATCCAATGGCAGAGAGACCTAGACCTAGACAAAATATCATCTCATCATGCCCAGCTCTCCACCATGATCACCTTCCTCCATCCCTTCCCTTCCCTTCCTTTCACTTCTCTCTCTCTCTATAAATACATTTTTATTGTCTTATGCTTCTTGTCTGTTTAAGGACAAATTATACTTACATCCCCTGAATTTTAGATTTAATACATGTCATTTTCCAACGTTTAGAAAATTATACTAACTCGCTGTTATTATAATTATTTAGACGGAATAAAGACATTATATTCATATATTCTCTCTTTTTTTATTTTGTTTTATTTTTTTTATTTTTTTCCCTTTACTTTTTGTTTTTCAATGTCATTTTTTTATTTTTTTATTTAGAACTATTACTTTTTATGTAAGTAGGGATATTTGTATAATTTATCCTTATCAGTGCAATTTACCCTTCCGTTTTTGTCCTGTTTTGAAAATACTCCCAATTGCCTGTGTTTTTCTTGAGACATGGACAGGTCCTCCCAACCCAACCATCCAAAATACTACAATACAAACATAATTGCACCAAAACCTATAAAAAATAGATGAGCAGAATCCCAATCTCTTGCTTTTCCCTCTCATCAGACCCATCTATGGACTGTTGTTCTCTTTTGTTTTCTCTCTCCCTCTAGGGTTTGCATTTTCTTTTGAAATCTTTGCTTTCATTGCTCTCTGTCCTTGAGCCGTGAATCTTCCACTGCCAAAAAAGTACAACCCTTTTTCATTGACCCCACACAACACGTCCTCCCCTTTTAATGTTTTGAAAAGTAGAACCCATTGTTTAATAATCAAAGAAAATGCAAAAAAATCTCAACCTTTTCCTTTCTTAGGGTTGGATTTTTAGGTTTTCTTGCCTTTTTCCTTAATGGGTTTCTTTGTACCAAATCAAAATTCTTTCTTTGATCATATCTTGTTGATGGGTTTATAACAATCTCCTGAACTTTCGTAGAAAATCTTTTTTTCTTGGAAAACCGAGATGCCAATCATCATCTGCAAAGCATAATTCAATTCAAAGAAGGCATTCTGGGTTATATTGCTTCTAGGGTTTGTTGATCGTTAGTCAATTCTGATTGGTTTTATGCAAAAACCCATTTGTAATCACCACAATTTTGAATCTACGGAGTACGCATTTGGGCATTTTCCACCAAGAATTGCGTTTCTTTGAAGGTTTGGCTCATACACCCCTGTTTTTCTCTTGGGAATTTTTACAAACTTATGGTATGCATTTCAATTTGGTTCGTTAGGGTTGTTCATATTGTGTTGAAAACATGGGTTGTGTTCATGGAAAGTGTTGTTGCCGATACCCAAAATCATCAGATGGTGATAAAAAGGATGTTAAAGATTTGGGTCCATATAATGCCCATGAAAGACATGTACTTGCAAATAGGTTATTAGATTTTATTCTTATTCCTTGCCAGAATTTCCAGTTGGAGTGTGCGGTCCTCACGCAACACGGGTACTACCCGGAAATGCCTGGTAAAGAAAATCAAGATAGTTTCTGTATCAAAACACACATTCAAGATAACCCAAATGTTCATTTCTTTGGTGTATTTGATGGGCATGGTCAATTTGGTTCACAATGTTCAAATTTTGTTAAGACTAGGTTAGTTGAAATTCTATCCGGTGATCCTACATTGTTAGAAGATCCTGTAAAAGCTTATAATTCTGCATTTTTGGCAACAAATGAGGAATTACATAATAGTGAGATAGACGATACGTTGAGTGGTACAACGGCTATCACTGTTCTTGTAATTGGGGATTCAATTTTTGTGGCGAATGTGGGTGATTCGAGAGCTGTGATTTCCGTTAAGGACAGGAGTCGGGTTGTTGCTGAAGATTTGTCTCATGATCAAACACCTTTTCGGAAAGATGAATGTGAGAGGGTGAAGCTCTGTGGGGCCAGGGTTTTGAGTGCTGATCAAGTGGAAGGGCTTAAGGATCCGGATATTCAAACGTGGGGTGATGAAGAGACTGAAGGTGGTGATCCACCGAGGTTGTGGGTTCAAAATGGAATGTACCCTGGGACTGCATTTACGCGGAGTGTAGGGGACAGCGCAGCAGAGAAGATTGGTGTGGTTGCTGTTCCAGAGGTTTCAATGGTTCAGATTAAACCCGATCATCATCCATTCTTTGTTGTTGCAAGTGACGGTATTTTCGAGTTTCTCTCAAGCCAAACTGTTGTGGAAATGGTATGTTATAACCTTGAACAGCATTCAAAATAGGACTAGGAACCACTTTCATGCTTTATTTATTTTCCTTTATCGACTATTTGTCACTTCCCAAGTTTTTCTGTTCACATCAATCCTATTTAGCTGTTGAATTTTGATAAATTTGCTGTTTTAGATGATTGTATTTGTTTGAAGCTTATCTTCTTGTCATTGTTGATCCTTAAGAGTTGTATTTGGGATTTGAACGGAAAAGATCATCATTTTCAATCCTTTCCTGATTAATCTGTTGATTTTGACAGTTCATTGATACGGTGAGGCCCTAAGCCATTTGCTTGTTTTAATTAATAGTTTAGTTTGTCATGGAAAATCATTAAGAGGGTTTTGTAGTATGTGAAAATGAGTTGAAAACTAATATGGCAAAAGAAACTAGGATTCTGTAAAATTGCCATCAAATTGTCTCATTCTTTTGTTTTTAATATTTTATTTATTGACTTAAGGGAGGAGGAACTTGGGAAGTGTTTCTTACATGCTTGAGAAAGTGTTTAACATTAGACTTCATTGCATAATCGTGGAACCCTGCTTTTATAATATAGGCATAATATTCAGGGCGGAATCATAATATTAATAGCAATATTTAGAGTAAGAAATTGATGATTTTTTTTTAGACCCCTCCCTGAACAAACTATTTGTAGCAACCCTAGGTTGTCAGTTGTCATCAATGCCCTTGGTTGCATTGTGTCGTTAACAGTTCCACTATTTTGTTGCATGGCCCTAAAAAATTCATGAAGTATGCGAGCCATATAAACAACATGGGCTTGGGTATGGATGTGCACTGATAGCTACAATTTTATACAAACCTTTTTAGCATAACCCCCAAGGAGAGATGGCATACTATTTCCCTGTTCAGCGAAATTTGTAATTGTGTCACATGAATATTTCAATGGGGCGTGCTCAACAGTGTGTGGATATGAAAATTGCTTCATGTTGTTTCCATAGCTTAAATGTAATAATTCATCTGTTAGGGTTGTTTTCTCTACAACAGTGTGTTATTGTTCTCAGACTTCTTTCACCTTTTAAATCCTGAATTTCATGGTTATAACGGTGATGCGTTAATTTTCTATTGGGATTTGTATTCTATGCCTGGCATCTATGCATTGAATATTATTAAGTAGTATTATTTTCCCTTTGCAGCTCTTTGAAGAGCTGTTGTCACCCTTTCTTCTGAATAATTGATACATCAGATAGTGTGAATCAATCAAATAATTTATGGCTTACATTGCCCCCAACAATGTTCGTTGAAATTTCAGAATTGGGTGTAATCAAGTGGATGTTCTTCTGAAGTGATACCATTGTCAACTTTATTTTGCATACACAGCATATTGCTTACACTAAAAGACATTTTGATGCTTTAAATTCCTTATTGGGATTATTGACAATCAAGTAAGGAAACAACAATAACGGATGAGAACTATTGGGTATGTTTGGTTTGAGTTTGGGAGATGAGTTTTAGAGATAAAAAGTACGAAAAGTTGTTTGGTTTGGTTTTTTTCAAAGGATGTTTTGGAAAATTATTTTGAGGGAGAGTTTTGGAAAAAGTGATTGATTTGATGTGTATGAGAGAGAGATTTGTTTGGAAAATTGTAAACCAAACAAGTTTTGGGAAATTTTTTTAGAAAAATTTGTTTGGTTTGATTACTTTTGAAAACTTATTTGTAGAGAATTTTTCCTAAAATTTTTTGGGAAATACAAACCAAACAAGGCCATTAATTTTTGAAGTTTTATTAGTCATTTTGTGACATCCTGATTCTTCCTTAAGCTCTTAAACATTGTTTTACAAGCGTTCTATCATAGCCGTACTGCCCTCCCAAAAAACAGAAAAAAGAAAAAAGATGCACTGCCTTTAGCAAATGAGTTCTTTATGGAACTATTATATTTTCGCACAAATGTTTGCATCAAACCTAATTAAACTAAGCCTCTTGTGTCTCAATCAAGTGTGGAAAAGTTTGCATTGGTGGAGAGATTTTGTTTTGCTTCTTAAACCATGAAAAGTGCTATTTATTTCACAAATTAGATACTGCCCTGAACTTGTTTCTTTCTTCTTCTTAGAATTTTGAATTAACTTATGGTCTTTTGCATATGTGGAGGGAATTTGTTGGCTTCTTAAAGCATGATAAAATTGCTATCTATTTCACAACTCAGATACCAATCTGAACTTGTGTTCCTTTCTTTTTCTTTGAGTTTTGAACTTTGGTTCGAGATCTAAATATTTCATTGATGACTTCTTTTATGTTCCCTTGGTTGCACTATTCACTCAATTTTCCTGACATCTGTTGTTGTCTTTCTTTTTTTATTTTTTATTTTAATGCAGGCCGCAAGATATACAGATCCTCGAGATGCATGTTCTGCTATTGCTGGAGAATCATACAAACTATGGTTGCAGAATGAAAATCGGACGGATGATATAACAATCATAATTGCACGTATTAAGGAATTGTCTAATGTATGAACATGTAATTCTTCCTTTGCTCGTTAATCTTGTTTTTCTTTTTCTTCATTGAATTCACCGCGTATTAGTGTCCATACACGGCAATTGTGATACATGTGATGTGATTATCGTAATCAGGAGAGACCTACATTTTGGAAGGGTGTCACTTTGAAGGGTGTCACTTTGAGAGATCGATGCTACCGAAAGGCTCATTGGTTCATTACTTTTGTTTTGGGATATTTCTTGTGTTCTTGTCCAAAAAAGGGTCTCTCTGGATCTGTTTTTCCCTTTACTAGACAGAGTGAAGAAAAAAAAAAGGAAAAAAAAAGAAAAGGTAAAAGAGTGTATTCATTTTTAATTGTCTAGTCTTCTTGGAGGCATTATTTTACTATTCCACGCCCATACCAGAGTTTGAACCCTCTCCACAACAAAATTTCTCTTTTTTTCTGTAGTGTATTGAGCAGCGGGTGTAGGATCTGATCCCAAAGATAGTAAGTCTTTTCTTTCTTATGAAGGAAAGTCTTTTTCAAAGATTTTATATGAAACCCGGATAGTTACCTTTTAGAGTGATAGGGAGGAATGTGTATGCTTTATTCTTTTGAAGGTGGGAAAAAAGATAAAACTAAAACAGATTATTAATCCACATTTAAGTTTGAATCTTATGTCCAGACAAGAAAATTTCGTTGTGGAGAGGGTTCAAACTGGGGTATGGGGGTGGTTACCATTCACCCGTATTTTAGGTTATATGTTCGTGCCACAGTTTTCATTTGCCTGTAAATTTAAAAAATACCTTGTTGGAGGCATTACGTTACTATTTTAATCCATTAATTAGTCAGTAAATAGCTAATATATCATCCGATTGTAATAGTCAGGTACCAATGCTAACAATGTAAGCAGTGAAGTTGACAATCAGCAATCAGGTACCAATGCTAACAATGTAAGCAGTGAAGTTGACAATCAGCCGGCTCAACCAGGGACAGGAAAAGCAAAGTCCGAAGCATTTGTTACCCCTCCTGGGTCAGAAGCTTTCCGTTCAGTGAGAAGTGATTTATCTGATCCACATATGGTATCGACAGATCAAGGCGAAGGAATAGCTGACCCATCTCCAATGCTTTCCAGGCCTTCGGTATTGGGAGCTTCTCATGATCTGCTTTCTATGTATTATTTCCCTTGTTTGTTGTAACTGATCATTTTTTCTCACCTATCTTTGCAGTGATTGAGCTAACGAAAGGCATTTGGGAAGTTTCTTTCATTGTTCTGTTTCATTCGCTGTGAAATGGTACTTATCTACAATCCTAATTTTATATTTATTTTGCAAGTGCAAACCCTGTTTGATTGTGTTTTGGTTTTCGTTGTTTACGTTCTTTGTGTTTTCAGGAACAAAAACAGTTAAAAGCTCTAAAATACCCATTATTTTCATATTGTTTTCATTTTTACACAAAATGGTTTTTGACATTTGTAAACAACTTTTTCAGGTTTCCTGAAAAGTGGGTTGTTTTTAGAAAAATTGAAAATAACTTTTTGACATTTCTTAAAAAGTGGGTTTTCAGAAATTTGTTTCCTGAAATAGTTTTCAAAAACAGTTCAGCAAACATGTATATCCTATTTATACATCCCTCTTTGGTTTTCTTTGTTTTCGTTCTTCGTTTTATTTTTTTTTCGTGCTTTCAGAAACAAAACAAAGAAAAGTTCCAAAATACTCATTATTTTCATATCGTTTTGATTTTTATGCGAAATCGATTTTCAAAAATTCAGAAATAACTTTTTGATATTTTGTAAAAACGAAGACACAATCAAACAAGACAGTGCTTCTAGAGTTGCTAATATACTTTCTGACCACATAAATAAATCTTTTATATCAGGGAGTTGGAGCTCAAAAGTTGGTGCCGTGCTGATTGATCTCTATGCAATCCATTTCATGGTAATCTCACTTGCTAGTAGTAACAACACTGACTATTGAGTGTACAAAATTGGCTTTAAATCACTGAGAAGAGAAGACTGAATGAATCCTAACCCTAACTTGAATAAAGAGGGGTGCTGTGGAAGATGCTATGAGAGTTGGGATGATATTATTGAGAGGAAGTTTGGTGTTTTCATGGATTTTAATGTACTACTAGAGATGTAAATGAATTGTGAATGACATTTTTATTTACACAATTTGCAAGTAGGAACAGAACAGTGTTGTTTTAGAGTTTTTGTTTAGTGTAAAAGCTGTACCATCTGTGCTTTTAATTGTCAGATCTCCATGCCTTCCATTTCATGTTTCTCTTTCTGATTACACTGACCATTTACTGCAGAAATTCCTGTAGATTTGATTCTCTCTCTTTGTTTTTGGGTAACAAGTCGAATCAAGCTAAGTCTAGTAGTGGATTGTTTAAACTTGGTTTAAAATTGATGAGTTTTAAAAAGGTATTCAAACTTGATTTGTTTATCTTTTTAGTTAATTTCAAACGAGTTGATCACTAGCCATACGTGACTAGCTTGATATTTTTATATAGTTCTATGGTGAATGTAATCTTATCGAGGTGAGCTAGCTCAAATAAGTTAGGAGTTTCAAAATATGTTTGTTAACAAGTTGAACACAAATTGAGTTTGAATAGTTTGGTCTATATGGTTCATCATACAACCCTAATTTGGGGGAAGGGAGAAAGGTACTTTTAATTTCTACATTTTGATTATCAACTTTTAATTTATGATAAGTTGTACCAAACAAGCCTAGTGTTAGTATAAAACATTTGCGAGTTTAGTAAGAATAATGTTAAGTGGCAATAATTTCTACCGTGTTGAAAAGTACAAGGCTGTACTTTCATGTCCTTGTTCTTGATACCTCACTAAGCCACAAAAACTTGCTAAGAGCAACCATGGGCCTGACTGGAAAGTGGGTGTTTTTTGTGTTTTCATAAGCAAAAGCTCAAAAACACACATTGTCCTCATTTTTGAGTAAAAATGGTTTTGAAGATTCAAATACAAATGTGATTTTCTAGAAAAAAAAAATTCCTCAATTATTTTTTTAAAACAATCTGAAAAATAAAAATAAAAAAGTGAAAACACAACCAAATAGATATCCAAACATAAATGTCTCCAATAAAATGCAAGGCCACTCTCCTGGTGAAAGAAAGATTTATAGAATTGCAGATGCCGTATTTTTTGCAGTTCTATTTTTGACCTAATAGTTCTTTGTGTTTCTAGCCATGACCACTGCTTAACATTGCTGCCAAATAAATAGTTCAACCTGCTTACTACTTGACTTAAATAATCTGATGGTAACAACATCAAGAAACATGGATTCAATTTCAGCCAACCACTTCTCTTGCAAAGCAGCAGGTGCAAGTGGCTCCTATAGCATTCAAGTACTCAATCCTGAATTTGTTTCTCATTTTTTTATCACCCCAACATGTGATCAGACCAAATGCTGAGAAGTATTAGAAACTTATCTCACATCACTTCTTTAAGTCAGGTAGTTCTGCCCAATTACAACTCATCGTAGTTTTGTCATGAAATAAGTAACTTAAACACCATTTTATCTCACAACTAAGACCACTTTGGGTCATAACTACCACAACATTGTATCATAATGATGCATAATTTTCATATCACATTTGGTCATAACAAAAAACCACCACTTTAGATCGTAACTATCACCACTTTTTGACAACCAATACTACAACAATGCATAACTAGTATGCATCCTTTTTTGGGGTTGTGGAATGTAGCATTAACCTTAGAAGCCAATAAAGCTTAGTTCATATAATTTAGAGGCCTCTCCAACCCATAGTTAATTGATGTTGGGTTGGAAGCCTCCAAATTTGTAGCATTAAGTAATTATCCTTTTGTTCCACTTATTGGTCTCAACACTTGCTAGCCCTTGCTCTTGACATAATCACCCAAGTTCATGTGGGTCAAGAAAATTTTGTCTATTAGATAAATGAGGGTTGCTATGGTTCACAAATTTGATTCACCCACTAGCCCTTGTTCTTGGACATAACATAATCACCCAAGTTCATGTGGGTTAAGAAAATTTTGTCTACAAGATGAAAAATCAAATGAGGGTGGCTAAAAAGTTTAATTCACTTTAGAGACAGACAACAGTTCTATCAGTTCTATTGCCTAGTGTTTTTTCTATTGTAAAAACAATGAAGATGTTGATTGTCACCATATTCTCCACCAGATAGCCTCAAACTCATCACCCTTAAATGGATTCCATTATGCCTAAAACTAGCCTTCTTGTCTTCTTTGATCACAGTAACTGAGCATATTCAAATGGTTTTCTACTCTTACTTTATAAGCAATTCAATTAACTCTCATATCCTCAACAATCTCATCACTAAAGCACTAATTATTAGGACTTCAAAACGAACTAAGCTACTCGAATTTGACTCATTAAAACCTCATTCAAGTTCACTTTGTTGCATAAACGAATCAAAGTTGAACAAATTTTAAAGTTTGTTAATTTTCTAGACTCTTCGAACTTTTAACTCGATAGGCATAAAAGTACTACCAAAAATAAGTAACTCAAGCTCAAATGGTAAACAAGTAAAACTTAAGCATATTTTGAAACTCCTTAAGTTTTCAAAGTAAGTTTAAACAACCTATTTGACTCAACTCAACTCATTTACAATTCCACCATTACCAAACAACCCAACTTCATGATTATCATGAGAGAGAGAGAGAGAGAGCAAATAATTCCAAAAAAAATCTGTTCATGAATTCTCAGAACTTCATACAATGGTCACCATGATTAAATGCTTCAATGTTCCAATTTAACCACGAAAGCATTAAAAAAATTCAGTAATTATCAGTACATAACATTGTTGAAGGCTTATCATTGTATCACATTGTCAAAGGCTTCAAATTTTTATTTTTATTTTCATGTTCCTCTATTCATCCAACGCCAAGACCCAAAAAATGATCACAAAATTGGTAAAACAAATTCAATCAGAGACTCATCTTATTTTTGTCAAAATTTCACTTTCTCTTATCATTGTTCCTCCTCTCATTGCATGCTTTCAAAGCCTGAACTTCTGCAAGAAAAATTAAGCAGAAAATCAATAAATAGTACTCCACCTATATATATATATATACATATATGTGACAAATTATATCGGTAGTCACTCCATTTTGCTCATTGTATACACTTTCAATTGACTCGATTTTAATTATTAATTTGAGGTTCTTTTATTAATTTGATCCAATTAATTACAACCGTGTTAGCATTTTTTAGACTTAAATTTATAAACTTGCTCGGGTTAACCTTAATCAACTAATGATCATTCTTGATAAAAAATTCTAACCAGCATTATCAAACGGACCAAATTGATACAAAATCTAAAATTAAGTCCAAAATCGAGCTAATTAAAACTGTATTACCAAAGGCCTCTGAACGGAATAATATATATATATATATATATATATAACAGGAGAGAGAGGGAGAGGAACAGAGGCATACCCATTTGGCAAGATTTCCAATTTCTGTTGGTATTGACTAGACAGTCCTGCAATAGTTTAAGAAATCACATATGGGGGTCTATTTAGGGTTTTCAGAATGAATTCCAAAAATAAATATTTTTATATAGATATAGAGATATAGATACCTGTAAAGACAAGTAGAAAGAAGAACACTCTCTGAGTTGCTTCACAGTCTCATCATCCTCAACTGCATCGCTCTGATGAAGTGGCGGTGGCGGCGGCGACGGCGGCGGAGGTGGGAGGGCTGTGATTGGGTTCGGTGGTTGGGAGAAGTCCATGGGGTGTATGGGTTACTTTTGAATGGCCTGCTACTCCTATTTGGCAGGGGGCCGGCCTAATCGTAGAGGCCACCAAAGGCCTCGTTTGACATTGAGATAAAAAAAAAAAAAATGAATAAATTGAACGTTGTTCCCTTTATCTTTAGCCACTTTCTTATTAAAGGCTTTGTTTGTAAAAGTTTTTTTTTTATTTTTTGGGGGTCTAAAATCTACACAAAAAAAAAAAAAAAAAAAAAAAAAAAAAAAAAAAAAAAAAAAAAAAAAAAAGAAAAAGAAGAAGAAGAAGAAGAAGAAGAAGAAGAAGACTTTTAAGTTGAAATAGTTAATAAAATAAAATGTCACATCAATTCTATAATCATTTCACTTATTTTTTTACAAAGGTCAAGTTTAGGAACTTGTAAAAAGGTCAAAAAGTTACTCAAAAAGTTAAAAAGTTAACACTATTCACCAAAAGTCAATAATTACGACTGCACAACTCCCAATTTGAATTTTTCTCTACAAATCAATTTTTACAAATTTTTATTACACATTTTTTCATAAAAAGTTAACTCAAACATCCATATTTTCAACCTCAATTTTTTAGTCAAAAAAGACAAAAAGTGCACTTATTTAGGACACTCCAAACAACTCCAAACATTACATCCAATTACAATAAAAATTCAACCATCTTCCTAAACACAAATATTTTAACCTACTAAGCCGAAAATTAAAATAGCAAACTTCCCAAACATGGTTATGTTTCAAGTTATCCCACTTTATTCCTAAAGCTAACTTACAGCATCCATAGTGGAGCTGTTAAGGGGTGTGTTAGTGTCAGTTGTTAATATTTTGTCTAGTGAAAGGCTCAAATGATTTTCCAATGGAACTGTTAAAAGGTGTGTTAGTGTTAACCATTAGTGTCAGCTGTTAATTTGTTTGTTAACTACAGCGAGCCTTTTAGCCAGTGAGAGTGAGAGAGAGAATGGAGGACATTGGGAAGTGCAGCAGGGTCGTCTGGCTGGACGTTCAGACCCTTGTTGTTTTGCTGGGTTGTTCTGCTGGATTCAGATTTTGGGTTTCGTGGTGAGAAATGTAGTGATGATAGTCAACAGGTGCAACAGCAACAACCAATGAGAAATTTTGGATTGGTGAGGTATCGATCTACGCCGAGTTCGGTGGTACATAAGACTCAACTCCTCACAATCCATGTGATATTGGGCAAAATTCTTCAACAAATGAAGCTTTCTAACCACAACGATAGCAGCAACACAAAAATTGTTATTTTATTTTTTATATATATTCTTAACACACACTATAACACATCTATTGCATCATCACTTATTCTTTAAAATTAACAAATTTTTAACACGTCTTAACACACATTTGTGGGTCTCACTTTTATCACTTTTTGTCATATAACACACTTTTACACACTTTTTTAACTATCCCATTGTGGATACTCTTACGTTCAAAATTAGATAAAAAAATGTTATAATAACCATCATATAACATAAAAAAATATATTATTATATTAAAATTTAAGTTTATGTGATAAATGTGAGTTTTATCCTAAAAAAATTATATTATTATTATTATTTTTTTATTTTTAGTGATTTTTTTTATTAATTTGTGTCAACTTTTTTTTCTTTCTGATTTGTCTAATATAAAATAATGTAGAAAAAATTACAAAGATAAAAAATCAGAGTTTGACATTTATAATAAAATAAATCTTGAATTTTTAATTTTGTTAATTTGAACCCAAAATTTTTAATTTATTTTTAATCTAAACCACTGGTTGCTTATTTCAGTTAAGTAAAATCGAGAGAAAAAAAAAGTATTTTAATTATTAAATTCAACAAAACAGTGTATTTTAAACATTTTATAAATGCCTACATTCTTTGGTTTTACTTAAAAGAAAATAGGTCGATGGTTTAAATTAAAAACAAATCGAAAGATTAGAATTTAAATTGATAAAATTAAAAACTCAAGGTTTATTTTGTTATAATGGTCGAACTCTTAGATTTTTTTACTTTTTACTTTTGATAATTTTCCCAACAATCTAATTTTTCTTTTTTTAAAAAAAAATCTAAAAAAAAAATCCCTAAAGGCCAAAAACAAAAAAAATGCTAAACAAATCAATTTTTACATTGGTTCGTCTTTATTGGACTTTTTTCAATTTTTTGTTTTTTGTTTTTACTTTTATAATTTGTCTAGTTGAATGGGACTTCAAAATCTTTAAAAAAAAAAAAAATTAAAAAATGTTCATTATAAAAAAAAAATACTAAAAAAGCTAATCCCAAACACCTCCTAAAGAAGCCAAAAAAGGTTAAAAAAATCTGCTTTTAATCAACTTTCCAAAATAATCATAAATTGATGAAGGTGGTTTTACATCTACCTTAAAAACGTTGGTGGATACCTCACATTTTTTAATTTTAATTTTATTTCTATTACATGGATAAATTGAAAATTTCTATACATGTATAAAATTCATACAAAAAATTTCACAAGAATGATACGATAATACCATTATTGTAAATAAACTTATCTTCAATAGTATTTTATTTTGAAGTGAAAGCCTACAATTATGAATTATTTTGTTTATATAGTATCACTCATTAAATTATCAAAAGGGACATTCTAAAATTTTATGCTCACTTGTAATCATTACTTTCTTCAGCTTCGGTCGTTGCTATCTTTAATAGCCACCCCAATCCCCTCTCACCACTTTCTAGTCTTTTTTTGTCTCTAATCGCCAACCCCTATTATCTCTTCATCCTTGTTCGCTCCTCCCAGCCCCCCACTCCCTCGTTTCCACTTCTTACATATATCCGTTCTTCCTCGTGTGTGTGTGTGTGTCTCTCTCTCGACTGGGTGGGATTTAGAGTTAGGGATTGAAGGAAGAATGGGGCAACAAGTAACGAGAAGGAAAGAAGAAGAGCTTGGTGGCTACTGGAAAAATAGTGTAGGCAATAAATAGGATTGGGTTTGAGAAGGATAAAATGGAAAGGTTGGAGATGGCAAATGGTGGATAAGGTTATGGTTGGAATTAATTGGAGTTTTCAAAGAAAATATTAACAAAATTTAAATTTAAGAATAGTGCGTTAAAAAAAATAGACATGCCCAATCATATTTTTGAGTATATTTAGAAGTGATAAGATTTTACTATTTCCTCTCATAATTTAGGGACATTCCAAACGAAGGGTAAGATTCAGTTTCAAGTGTTAAATTGGATTATCAAACACCACCTAAGTAGCATGGATTTAAAAATTTAAATAAGAAAAGTATAACATAATTATAGAAAAACTTATGAATTCCCTTCCCTTTTCCTCTATCATGAACTAATTATATCAGACATATTTTTCACTTTGTTCACTAATCCAATTTGAGCTTCATACCTACCACATCAAGAGGGGGTAGGTTGTTGGTTGGAATATTACTTGAAAAATGTAGTAACATACTTGCCCAAAAAACATACCCCAAAAAAAAAAAAAATTAAAAAAAAAGTGAACAAAATAATTTAATGCGTAAACTATTATTAGTATTATGTTAGAAATAATATTTTTTTAGTTCAAAAAATAATTTTTATGTGTCACATTTGTAATATGATACAAAGGTGGATTCATATAAAATAATAATGAGATCATTGTCCAAATAAACTAATTGAGTATAAATATTTATTATGTCGAAAACAATATTTTCATATATTTGAAAATAAATTATTTGCTACATAAGTGATTTGATATGACAATCTATCCCTATCAAGTAATAATGCGATCCCTATCCCATATTTACTACGTGAAGATTCATTTTATCCCTACTAGATTGGTATATAATAATTAATCCCCTTATATCTTTTTAGTTGTCTTTTAACAAATTTTAAATAGAATATTTTTGAATATTAACAAAAATATCATTTTTATTATTTGAATAGCGTTGGATTCGAAAGTCTCTCCTCCTGTTGTCGTTGAAATCTCTTCCAAGAGATAGGATTCAGTATCTAAATCGGCTGAAAGAGAGTGATTTAATTGTTTCGGTAGTTGAGATCCTTGAATAAATTATTTAATTTATTTGTCTAGATAGTTAAGACTCTTAAATGAGCGAATTAACTATCTTGGTCTCGGTAGTTGAGACTTCTAAATGAGCGACTTCACTAGTAATTGAAACTGTTGAATGAGCGACTTAATTGTCTCAATAGTAGAGATTCTTGAATGAGCGACTTAACTGTCCTGATAATTTAGATAATTGTCCCAATAGTTGAGACTTCTGAATGAGAAACTTAATTGTCTCAACAAAATCCTTTCATTCTTTAAGTTAAAATTATAATATAATGTTCTTATACTCCTTAAAGCTCAATTTGTTTAGGATGAAATAAGTAAAAAGTACGGTAAAGAGAAAAAATTTAACCTTTATGAATTTGATTTACTTGAAAGTGGTGAAAAGTATAAGAAAATAATTTTTCTTATACAACCGATATTAACATTGCAACTAATTTTTAATTTCTTCCAAAAAAACAAATAAATACAAGAAAAATTGAATATGTAAGTTATTTATAACTAAATTTTAAAAAATTTCTATATTCTTTTACAAATTTTTTATCTTCGTCTAATACTTGCAATGAATTTTTTTTTCTTTTCTTTTATTTCATTTTCTTTCACTTTCAATAAATTTTTATTTATAATTAAATGGAACCTAAAAAAATAGGACCTAAATTAGAAGGGAGAGACAACTAAATTTGATTATGTTTTGAATAGTTTATGCATGCTTAGTTATTTATATGAATGATATCTAAATCCTGATTTAGCTTTTTCATTCATCAATAATTAATTAGAAAAATAATAATCATAAAGAATAATTAATAACTTTGTTTCTAAAACCCAAAATGTTCAATTTTAGCCGTAATTTCCATCTATACCCCCTCTTCATACATAGAGAGAACTCTTGGACCCCACTTAACAAACATATATACAATATTACATGTTTGGTTTTTTGCTTTTTTTTTTTATCAGTAAAGAAAAATTTCATTAACAACATGAAATTAAAGATATAGAAAGATGACATGCATCGAGAGAGATTCGGAAAGTACAAATTACCCCTGCTACTGCTACTCGCATTCATACAACCAACCCCTTGGC